TCTCTTTGGAGGACGTGAAATCACTACAAATTTGTGAATCTTGCCTTAAAGGGAAAATGACCAAGTCACCCTACAAAGGGAAAATGGAACGAGCCGAGGGTCTTTTGGATTTGATCCATACAGACGTATGTGGTCCACTAAGTGTTAGTGCGAAGGGTGGATATAACTACTTCGCTACCTTTACCGACGATTATTCTAGGTATGGGTATGTGTACTTGATGAAGTACAAGTCTGAAACATTTGAAAGGTTCAAAGATTTTAGACACGAAGTGGAAAAGCAACTCGGACGAAGTATTAAGAAGCTGCGATCCGATCGTGGTGGAGAATACTTGAGCATCGAGTTCATTGACTATCTAAAAGAGAATGGGATACAGTCCCAATGGACTCCACCGGGAACTCCTCAACTTAATGGAGTCTCCGAACGTCGGAATCGAACTTTATTAGATATGGTTCGATCAATGATGGGGTTCACAAACTTACCGGCATACTTATGGGGTCATGCACTTCGTACTGCCGCGTATTTGCTGAATAGAGTTAACACCAAAGCAGTTAAATCACACCTTATGAACTTTGGCATTCCCGAAAACCCAACTACAAACATATTAGGATATGGGGTTGTCCCGCTTATGTGAAGCGGTTAGTGGGAGATAAGTTGGATAGTAAATCCGACTTGTGCTATTTTGTGGGGTATCCCGAAGACTCGATGGGATACGAGTTCTACTATGTCAAAGAAGCAAAGACGTTTGTTTCGAGAAATGCCACCTTTTTGGAAAGGGAGTTTCTATCCAATAGAAAGGGCAGCATGATAGAACTTGAAGTAGTTCAAGAACCACAAAGTGAAGTTCAAACGCAAGAACAAGTAATCGAACCAATACAACAAACCACTAATATACCTCTTGAACCTACGGTACGTAGATCCGAAAGAGTTCGGAAGATGCCGGATAGGTTATTCCTCCTCGAAAATGATGAAGATCATGTTGATCTTGGACGAGATCCAAGAACATACAATGAGGCCGTATCGGATGCGGACATGGGACATTGGCTAACTGCCATGAAATCCGAAATGGACTCCATGTACTCCAACAAGGTATGGACCTTGGTAGATCCACCCAAAGGAATTGTTCCTATAGGCTGCAAGTGGATCTATAAGAAGAAAATTGGAGTGGATGGAAAGGTGTCGACCTATAAAGCTAGATTGATAGCGAAAGGATACACTCAAAGGCAAGGTGTTGACTATGAGGAAACCTTTTCGCCAGTCGCGATGCTGAAGTCCATTAGGATTTTGCTGGCCATAGCTGCGTGGTACGACTACGAGATATGGCAAATGGATGTGAAGACCGCCTTCCTTAATGGAGACATTGAGGAAGAAATTTACATGGCGCAGCCGGAAGGCTTCATATCTTCTGGAAGTGAGCAAAAGGTTTGCAAGCTCCAGCGATCCATTTATGGATTGAAGCAAGCATCCCGTAGTTGGAACATTAGGTTCGACTCAACTATCAAAGAGTTTGATTTTGAGAAGAATCCGGAGGAACCTTGTGTATACAAGAAGGTTAGTGGGAGGGCAGTGATATTTTTAGTGCTTTACGTTGACGACATTCTACTCATTGGGAATGATGTAGGAATGTTGCAGCAAACGAAAGCATGGTTGTCCACACGTTTCTCAATGAAGGATTTGGGAGAAGCATCTTACGTATTAGGAATACGCATCTATAGAGATAGAGCAAGAAAGATGCTTGGTTTATCCCAAAGCCTGTACATAGACACCGTTATGAAACGGTTTAGCATGGAAGAATCCAAGAAAGGATTCTTGCCAATGTCCCATGGGGTTCGTCTCTCGAAATCTATGTGTCCCCAAACACCTAGTGAAATCGAGGAGATGAAAAGGACGCCTTATGCTTCTGCAATAGGAAGCATAATGTATGGCATGCTATGTACAAGACCCGATATTGCGTATGCTGTGAGTGTCACAAGCAGATATCAGTCTAACCCCGGCCCGGCTCACTGGAAAGCCGTGAAAGATATCCTCAAGTACTTGCGAAGAACTAAGGATATATTTTTGGTCTATGGGGGTGCCGAGTTGAAATTAGAGGGTTTCACTGACTCTAGTTTTCAATCGGACGTGGACGACTCAAAGTCGAATTCTGGATTTATATTCACGCTTAATGGTGGTGCCGTGTGTTGGAAGAGTTCCAAGCAAAGCACGACGGCCGATTCCACTACCGAAGCGGAATACATTGCAGCGTCAGAAGCTGCAAAAGAAGGGACTTGGATAAGGAAATTCATCCAAGAGTTGGGTGTCATTCCTGATGCTAGTGATCCAGTACCATTGTACTGTGATAACACCGGAGCCGTGGCGCAAGCTAAGGAGCCACGATCTCATCAGAAGTCGAAGCATATTCTGAGGAAGTATCATGTGATCCGAGAGATCATTGATAGAGGTAAAGTTAAGGTAGAACGAGTCACCTCGGAAGAGAACGTTGCAGACCCCTTTACGAAGCCTTTACCGAGATCGGTCCATGAGAAACATCGAGAGTCGATGGGATTGCGATTCATGGGTAGTTGGCTTTAGGTCAAGTGGGAGATTGTTAGAGTAGGTGACCAACAAGCCAACATGTGGCTGTGGTCTTTCGTATTTATTATTGTAATAAACGAACCTTTATTCGTATTAATGATAAAACACCTTGGCATTCTATATCTTTGTCCCTTTGTCACAAGCATAGATATAGTCCTTACAGTTATTACAAGTACTAGTAATTGATCGTTAGGATCGTGAGATATTTACTTAAGTATTATAACTGTTAAACATGTTCCTAGTCGAAGGGTTACGCCACTAATGAGGATATCGGCCTTTCCCATTAAGACTAGCACTTAGTGTATGTGTACTGCATCTCATCAGTAAACGGTATTGTGATATCGGCATGCATAAGTGGGTGCTCGTAAGTTGACGAGTTCACTGAACTCCCTCACCCTAGAAATCTCTAAGTGGTTCCCAATAATCGAGTAGAGGTATCTATGGTATAGTTGTACACCATTAGTCCTTATGACCTAGACATCACCGTGACTTCACTAGAGGACCAGCTGTATCGTGACCTGTCCCTGAGTTCCACCGAGGACCATCCCAAGGGCCAGTGTTCGTGCAGTCCGAAATCTAGTGGGAGGTCTGTGCATTGTAGTCGGGGATTCGATCGCTAGAATAGTCTTGGATGTCCTGTGTGTTCTGAAAGTTTGTAATCATTCTAAGTCTCTGGCCAGAGCTGACTAAGTGATGATTAGAGAATTCGATTCTCTAAGTCATGCACGTAAGGATTACAACACTTAGAACGATCGCACCGTCATCGAACATATAAAGAGGTCTCGATGAACCAATGCCTCTAGTTCGATCGGGACATATGAATCGAAGGGACCGTACTGTACGTTAACTATATCTGAAGGTTCTTGCAGGCACTTCATTTGTATCTAGGGAATCATGACGCGTAGTTGCTAGACGCCAATCTTGATTCGTTGGGTGATTAAGGTGAAACGAGCTTCATCTTAATCGTAACTCGAAGGGGACGAGTTTTGACCACAAAGGGTTGTGGGCCCACGGCTAGCTTACACCTGAACCATCGAGGGTCACACTGCTCGTGCACATGAGATCTTTGAATAAACGGTCAGAGATAAAATAGTTTATCTTTGCATAATTGGAAGTCAATATGATTGAATCCAACATTCGTAATTTGGAATTACGAATGAGAATAAGAAAAGGAAAAGAATAGGCGAACATGTTAGTGAACTTTCTAAATCGAGAAGTTTCCAAATTTAGAAAGTCCACTGAACTAGGGTTTCCACTTTTGGAAAGTTGGAAAACAAGAGATGGCACTCGTAATGACGAGGAAGTTATAATGATTCCGAAAATGTAATCGTTGCAATTTTTCGGTCATTGAATTGAGAGATACGAGCAAGTAAAGGAACTAACGAGCTTAAGCTGTTGGGCCCAGTCCAACTTAAGCCCGCTAGGGTTATATGCAAGGGACTATAAATACATGACTTATAGCCCTTACACACATACATGAAACCCTAACCCTAAAGCGGCCGACCCTCTCTCTCTCGCCCTCTCTCCCGCGCGGCCACCACCGCACCACCGTCGCCGCTCCGTCGCCGGAACCGGCCGTTCGTCGGCCGTTCCTTGTTCGGTATTCTTTCTCCTTTCTTTTTCTTCCGTTTTATTCTAACTACTTCGTGTCTAGTGCCACGATTTAGTAGATCGAAGTATACGAGGTGAAATCCGAGAGGAGGAAGACTGTAGATCGAAAAGTCGAGGAGCAACGCACGAGCCGAAGCCGCACGCTGCCCCACGCGCCATCCCGAAGCCGCGCGTACACTACACGCGCCGCCGTGACCTCACGCGCCGCTGCTGCCGTTGCACCGCTGCTGCCCCGATTCTATGGATTGGTTTCCGTAGTAATCACGAAGTGCTAATCGCTCCTACCTCACGCGTCAAGAGGTAAATATACGAAACCCTAGTTTCGTTTAGGGTTTATTTTAAACTATGATTTCATGCTTGTGTTTGTACGTTTTTATGTGATTATGTGTAATCGATTAAATCATTGCAAGCATGTTATTTGGTTTAAACGCGAGCATGTTAACTGTTTTAATTCGGCTGAAATTATTAGCATGTAAATCGTTTTTAATTTCGTTGGAAGCGCAAAGGTACGCAATTAATTGAATTTATTTTATCGGGCATGTTCTTATGTGTTTTGAACTCGTTTGAATCACATAAATTTTTGTTTTCCGCTGCGTATGCGTGCCTGAAACCCAACACACCCACGAGCGACAATATCTTTAAGTGCGACAATCAATGCCTTATCTTCGCTAACGGTCCAACTACGTCGCGTAATTGTCAATTTGCCCTTTCCTTTTCCATTTGATCTTTGAGACATAGATGTTGACATACTGTTACACAACCATATTAGATTTGCTTAATTTAAAAAATACATAAGATTAGTATCAATACATATTGTCAACTGAAAATAGATTTTTTAAAACATAACACAAAATAGGAAAATTTGCATATGGTTCACAAACTTATTGTTGAAAAAGGCATAAATAGGCTTTTAAAATAAACAAGCAAACTAGCACACGATTCCCTATAGAAAGTCTTCTAAGTCATTGTTGACCCCCTCCTAAATAGTCGTTGTACATATCCATTGCAAGTATATCCCGCCACGAGGTCCATTCGTCAGATGCCTCTACTGTTTCTACGAAAGCGCTACGATCGATTGGTGTGATAATCTCTTCTGGTACACGGGCTTCTTCGGGGTCATGGTCGTTCGTCGTACGAATGAAGTTGTGCAATAAGCAACATGCCATAATTATCCGATTTTGGATTTTTAGGGGGTAATATGAGGGACTCCTAAGGATCCCCCATCTCGACTTTAGTATCCCAAAAGCTCGTTCTATTGCATTACGCGCCTTTGCGTGCTTCAAGTTGAAGTATTCTTTGTGATCTTGTACGGTATTTCTACCTACACCGAACTCTTGGAGATGATACCTAGTTTTTCTATACGGTGCTAGAAATCCCTTCCCATTGGTGTACCCATTATCAACCAAATAGTAGTGCCCTGGAAAGCGTATTTGAAATGTTATTCGGGGTAAGGTTTATTTTTATTGATTTTAATTTTTCAAATTATGAAAAATGATTGTGTACCATTAGGAACACGAAGACCGTTTGGTCGAGTAATAGCGTCCTGTAGAATCCTACTATCAGCGGCAGATCCCTCCCAACCCGTCAATAAGTATACAAAATTCAAATTCACATCACACACAGCAAGCACATTAATCGAAACTTTCCCCTTTCAATTTCTATATCTTGGTTTGTCAACTAGTGGTACACGTGCTTCAACGTACGACCCATCTAAGGCACCTAAGCAATTCTACGGAATTGCCAAAAAAATGTCATTACTTCAAATTATCTTCGGCAATAGGATATAGAGTAGTTAGTGAAATAGTAATAATCAATTATTGTTACATTACTATGTGTACCTCGAAGAACTTCCAACGGGCGTGGTCGCAATCACCGTCGACGGGTATAGGATCAACAAGAAATACATTATGTAGTTTAAGCAATGCATTCAACACCCTCGAAAATACAATACTAATTGTGAACCCGGACCTCTCGTAATTGGTTTGAATGATGACATTTTTTTCGTGGTGTGAAAGAACGTGTAAAAACAAAGCAGTTTGTTCAACTACAGAGACATTCCTAGTGGCGACTAATCCACCAACATTTTCAAGGAGGTAGCATAAACGAGAAAATGTGTCGGTATTCATTCTTAAATTGTTCCTACAAATTGTATCACTCCAGCTAACAATATTAGACAAATGTCGGATTTGGTTGGGTATCTTGCTTTTCAAACTATAAGATCGAACACCACCTCTACGATTCCTAAAGTGACGACGCCTTACTAATCGTACTAATTGTGTAAACATGAACATGAGCTTTTTCATTTGCTCAACAATATTACAAGCCAAAACTACTACAGCTTCTTCTTTGTTGTTGGCTTCCATGAAATGAAGTTAGCTGGGACATGACAAAAAAGGCATAATTTTAAAACAATTTTGAATAAAAAGGAAAGATAATGAACCTACTTTCAAACACCACAAACAGACATAGAAAAACTCCAAATTATAATAATATGCAGTTTTGTAGTTAAAATGAAAAATATATATAATTAAAGTAAAAAATATGACAGTGTAATTACTTAGCAAATGTTCCCACAACTAGTAACATATACTAACTTTAACAGTACCAATTTGTTTCGTATAACATAAATACAAACACATCCAAATCAACATACCACATTTTGAAACCTAAAAAATTGTGGAGAAAAAATAGCAAAAAAAAAAACAAAAAACAAAAGGGTTATGGATATGGGACAAATGACTTACCTCCAAAGAATTGAAGTTTTCAAAGTGGGTAGAGAGTAAGGAACATACGATGGCTCACCAAAAACACTGAAAGTGCAAAAATAGATCTCAAAATTTCTGAGTTCGGCAGAGGACGAAGAAAATGTGAGCACCAATAACTAACATGGAGATTTTCAACCCAACAGCTAGTTTCGACCCAACTCTGTTCACAATACCCAACCTTCAACGGTCTAAGAAAACTCCGCGAACTCCGATCTTCACCTTCGACAACGTATGTCAAAAATATCTACGAAAATTTCAGTTGTCAAATTGAAAGAAAATTAAATGATAAATTGCAGAGAGTATATAAAGAAAATGCAAACCTCTATCTGAGTTGCTAGGTCATTACATTTTGGTGGAGAAGAATGTATTTATACCTGGGTTATTGTGCAATTGTTACACTTTTGAAAGGACAATTATGTCATTACATGAGGGGGTTGGATATAATGGAAGGTGCAAGACTTTTTAATCGGACCAAAATTGGTGGGATGAATTATCCTCCAATTCAAAGAAAAGAAACCGGGCCCGGGATCAATACCGGGCTGAAATCTGAAAAACATAAGATGTGATCCGGTCAGACTAATCCATCAGTCTAGCTTTTCCCAAAAAGCAAAAGAGCCCTGAAGGTTTCTTGCAAGGCTACTTCTTGACCTACTAACTTCCTAAACATTGTAATCCTTGATTTCATATCGCCGGAAGTCTTCCGACCATCCGTTTTTTCATCATGGTACCGTCGCCAATAATCCGCCATAGGACAATCATTTTAAGTCCCACCTAACATTATAGGTATCCTTTCCTCGTTTTGTCCCCTTAATCTAAATGTGCAATTACATTTTTTAGAACTCGTCCTCCTATTTCCCTCTCCTTGGTCATCCTCACCGGCTTTCTTCTTCCCACGATACTCACCCGCACGCTCACATGTGAGTACAACATACGGTCTTCTACGCTCTTTCAATCCCGGATTTGAAACGAAAATGTTTATCACCATTTTGTGACGTCTATCAACTCCTTTAATCCAATCGAGTAGAGATTCTCGTGTCTCAAATATTTGTTCGCTAGATAATTCATTTGAATAATCCTCCATCAATCCCCTAGGTTGCTGCACGAAAGTATGGAAAAGCGGTCTTAAAAAAACACAGATAATAAAATCGGTACTTAAAAACCGATTTTTGTAGTACAAGTCGGCATGACAATCGTTAATACAAAAACAAATCGGTGTTGTCATGCCGATTTGTACTACAAAAATTGATTTTTAAGTACCGATTTTTATTAAAATAATCGGAATGTGGTTACCGACTTTAGTAACAAAAATCGGTATTTGCAGACCGATTTTTGGTATCGTCGAATTTTTTTCCCAACAAAAAAAGACGACCCAAAAGCAAAAATAAACGGTTAAAACATATTTTATTGTGTTCTCCACCCTCGCAAACCACCATATCATTGTTTTCTGGTTCCATCGTGAATGTTTGGTATGTATTTGATAATTTTAGTGTGTACGGTTTCTTGGTGGATTTGTGAAGAAAAAGGAGAAGAAGGAGGAGATTTTTAAGTCGTGAAATAATTGCACAAAGGAAATGATTTTTTTTTTTAATGCTTTATGTTTTTTGTTTGAGTTTAAATTTCATTAACAATAAATTAGTATTTTTATATTAGAGGTCTTGAACTAATTAAAAAAATGGGCTTGCATATAACCGCCGTCTTCAATAAATTATGCCTATGCGGAGAGAAAATTGGTCAGGTTTTGTGTGGAGGGATATAAATAGGTAGAAACTTCAAAAACCTAAACCTATTTGATGACGTAATCGACAAAAAAAAAACAATTATCTAAAATAAATCTAGTAGAAGATTGTCTGAACTGGTGACGTGGGCATTAAATCTTTATTTTTTTTATATAATTAAAATCTATAATTCAATTATGACACCTTATCATTTCTAAGAATTTCTTTCTTATTAGATATTTTAGAAATTAATTTAATTTATATTCGATTACCGTCGATAATTGTTTCTGAGTTATTAAAATAATTGGTTTTAAATAAGGGTGTGAACGAGCCGAGCTCGGCTGTTTTGGCCGGCTCGAGCTCGAGCTCCAGTCCAATGTTGCCGTGCTCGAGCTCACCGAGCGTCCAATGTTGCCGTGCTCGAGCTCACCGAGCTTATTTTTGTCTCGAGCTGGAACCAATTTTGACAAGCTCGAGCTCATTTATTTTTTTTTTATTATTTAATTTTTAATTAAAATCATTTATTTTTTATTAAAAATTATTTATTGTAAAATGAATAAAAATTATAAAATAAATAATGAACTCTAGTTATATTTTTTTTTAATTTTTATATTATTATTATTATAATATATTATATTATTATGAATTATCTAAGTAATATAGATT